ATATTCATTGGAAGGACTGATGTTGAAGCTGAAACTCCAATACTTTGGCCACCTGATGGGAAGAACTGACTCATTGGGAAAGACCCTGATGCAGGGAAAGATTGAAGGTGTGAGGAGTAGGGGATGACAGAGGATGAGATGGTTGGATGGCACCACTGACTCGACTTGATGGACATGAGTTTGAACAAGCTCCAGGAGTCAGTGATGGGAAGCCTGGCATGCTGCAGTACATGGGGTTGCAAAGAGTCAGACATGACTGAGTGACTGAACTGAACTGAACTGAGCACCCTGAACTGAACTGAACAGTACAAGCCAGGCACTGTGTCAGACAGGCCCTGGCAGCTTGGTTGGAGAGACAGCCTAGGGATCAAGTAAAATCCCTGCCTGTGTGGTTAGTACTCTAATGAAGCCCTAAGTGCAATTATCTTCAAAGGCTCCTTGCCTTCCCCCGGACTCCTTGCAGGCAAGAAGGTCCCGTGCTACCAAGCTTAGTGATAGCTACAGAGGCAGTTTCATTTCTCATAATGTAAGATTTGCTTTTAATCAAAGAGAGGACCTTTCCTCAGTCTGAAAGCCTTGTATTTTTTGCAACTTTCAAGGGCAGCTTGCAGATAGGCACTTTAATAACAGCGTTCTCAGGGACAAGGCTGTGACTTTAAATGGTGTGAAGACCCCAATCGCTGAACTCACAGGGGCAATCTGAATATTGATCATGAATTTTCTAATGGCCTTGGAAAGTATGGCAAAATTTTAGGAGGGATTTTCAGTTAACTTCGGCTGTTCAAATCAGCTCTATGCCTGGGGGAGAGACTGCATTAGAATATTCCAAAGGACTTTCTCTCCTGAAACAGAAAACATAAATGGTAGTGGGGAAAAAATATCAAAGTTACTGAGTAAGGAAATCACCACTTTGGGGTTTATGAAAACCACATCCTGCTAACTCCCTGCTATGTGAGGGAGCTTTCAGAGGTAATGAGGCAGGCTCCCGAGTGTCAAGTGTCTGCCTTGCTTTATACTTATGTGAACTCTCATCCCAGTGCTCCTGCTGGTAGGGTACATGCTCAGCCCGGCAGAGAGGCTGTTTGACATCACCTTCCAATCCCCTGCGGAAAACCTTGCACACAGCAGGCACTTAATGCACTCTGGTGGGATTGAACAGGAGAGAAAAGACGCCCCAGGAAGGCAGAGAGATACAAAGTGCTTTCTCTGTTATCTGCTCCTCTGCTCTGAACTAGAGGCTGAGCAGCCTGTCTGAGGCTACAGCTCAGGCTTTTTCCTTCTGCATGGGGGAAAAAACCAGCCATACTGAGTCCTCACCATGTGCCTGGCCTGCAGTAGACCATTTACAGCACCATTTCATCAGTCCTCCCAATAATGTCTTACAACTGAATAATCACCCCCATTTTACAGGTAGAGAAATGAGGCACTGGTGAATAAGCTCTCCTGAGCATTTTATTTGAAAGGTTTCTGAAAGTCCATTTGATCACTCCACCAGCCTGAAGAAGTCATTTTTATCGAGGTATTGAACAGCCATGTGGGGGCACTGCATTCAGAAAAGTTTTGGTTTTATCAAATTGACTAACAAGAGCGAGATCTTCCAGTCCATCAACCCAAGGACCCATTTATCAGACTAATTCTTTGGAGAGTGTAGAACAAGTCCTAAGGGTTGTATAAGTGGGGAAGACCCAATAGTCATTCTCCCCCCATTTTCTTCTCCACTAAAAGAGTCCCCCCCATTCATAGTTGAGGCAAACATTCCAACAACTCACCTTCCNCTAATTCTTTGGAGAGTGTAGAACAAGTCCTAAGGGTTGTATAAGTGGGGAAGACCCAATAGTCATTCTCCCCCCATTTTCTTCTCCACTAAAAGAGTCCCCCCCATTCATAGTTGAGGCAAACATTCCAACAACTCACCTTCCCAGCATCCCTTGCATCTAGGGGTGGCCATGTGGCCAGCTCTGGTCAACGAGATTAAATTGAGATCTAATGAGCTTCTGATATGAGCCGTGTTAAAGAAAGTGACCCTCAAAGAAAGCTCTTTCTTCTTTCAGTTCCTTTGTGCTACGGACAATATCATATGATGATGGGATATCTTATCTTGACTATTTTTTTTATTACGAGCAACTATACACACACACACACACACATGTTCTAAGGATGACAACATGGGTAGATGAATTCTTTATGACATCACAAGAGATAGGATCACTTGTCTCCAGAGTTCCTTTTTTGGTGAGATGATGAAATGTCCTTATTACTTAACGCATTGCTTGTCCAGTAATCTGAGTTGAATCTTCTATTAAGTATCCTCTGAAAGCATTCTGATTTTTGAAATCAGAGAGGATGAAATATGAGCAGTGCCAAGTCCTGAGTAATTACATTGTTGGGGTGAGGGGCTGCGGGGGGGTAAAGGGCTGCAAGGCCATGGTCAAGATCAGACAGTCAGGGCACTGAAGCAGAAGGTGATGAGTGTGTTCAATTTTAAAAATCTGGTTTATGTAAGGAGTGATGTTATTTAAAAAGAATATTGCAATAGGGAAGGCAGATGACTGTAACAAGGAGTTAGTAAGTCCCAATGTCATGGAGAAAGGAACTTGATTTATAGGAAGGAGCAAATAAGGCTAGAAAGCAACCAGCATGAGGCAATGGGACAAGGGCTTCTTGTAAGGAGACAGTTGATAAAGGTCAGGCAATTCTCTGGTCCTTAAAGAAAAATGCTCCTGAGCATTCCAACACTCAAGGATGGGTCAAAACTCAGGGACTGGGAGAAGAAGAGAAGTTTTAACTAAGACTGTCTAAGTTAAGACAAGTTTGTGGACATTTTATCTAGATTGGTCAGTGGGGACAAATAGCTCAGCTAATCATGTCTGAGACAAAGAATGGGAATGTGGAGGGTCTGTGTCTGACCTTGTCACGGATTAACAAGACGGTCATGGGTGAATCTTAAGTCATACTGGGAAGGATGGTTTTTTGCAGTGAGCCATTTCCTGGAACACAGAAGGGGTCAGGAGAGGGACAAATTCTTAACTGTCACTGATTTCCAAGAGCACAGGGCTTAATAAATTTCAATGTTGTTGAAGAAGAAACTCAAAAGCAGACCTCGGGGCAGAGTTAAAGGGTCACTGATCCACCCAAAACTATCAGTCCCCTCCCATGTGCCAGGCACTGTGTTAGCAGACGTGAGGGACACAGAGGTGATTCAGACATGTTCCGTGAAGGAATACAGCAGGGGAGGGAAGGTATGAACATAAATACCCACAGAAGGTATCCTGGCATCTGCCGTCTGCCCTCACACACTTTCCATTCTCTCATTCTATTTCCTTTGGGGACCACCTGAGCTTTGCAAACTGCCTGCCCTGCAGCAGACCCATATGTTCTGGGCACATTGGCAAAACCCAAGAGAATCAAAATCAGAAAAGGGAGAGGTTTTCCAAAACACAAGCCTTGGGTCTCAAAAGTGTTTAAAAGGATTAAGTAATTCAATACCAACCTCCCAAAGAAGCCCTCTCATTGATGCTGAATCTTGATTTTGCTCTCTTCCCCTGAAGAGCATCTGAGAACATATACCTGAGTTCTTATATTTCAGCCTAGATGGGGGAAGATATAGAGATTCTCATCATTCAAGCAGGAAATTGGATGCCCTGAGAGATGCATGCTTACGTGCTAAGTCGCTCAGTTGTGTCTATTTGTGATCCCATGGACTGCAGTCCACCAGGTTTCCTTGTCTATGGGATTCTTCAGGCAAGAATACTGAAGTGGGTTGCCATGCCCTCCTCCAAGGGATCGTCCCGACCAAGGGATCGAACCCGCCTCTCTTAAGTCTCCTGCATTGGCAGGTAGTTCTTCAGCACTTAGCGCCATCTGGGAAGCCCCCTGAAAGGTGCAGTCACTCTAATTAGGTAACCCTGCAGATCATCGTTGAGACTCAAGAAAATTGTGTCACTTCTCATTCTGGTTTGTTTTACCAGATCTTTCAGTAATGCCTAAGTTATGGCTTTTCTTTTTTCTTTCTTTAGAGATTTTACTTTTTAGAGCAGCTTTAGTTTCAAAGCAAAGTACACCTTTATCTGTATCCATACAAGCATAACCTTCCCCATTATGAATCACCCCCACCAGATGGGTACATTTTTTGCAACTGATGAATCTACATCGACACATTGTAATCACCCCCAGTTCATAGATTTTTAGGGTTTACTCTCTTGAACTTGGCTTTTCTAAAGGCAGCCAGAGTCAGGAGTTGGTGTAGAAGTGGGCAGAAAACACAGTGTCAAATGCTCCTCCCCAGAAGAGAGGTGGGCAATGATATAAAAATTATATTTTAACTTAGTCCAGAAAACTGAAATTAAAGCACTGAGTCCCCTGCATGATCATTATCACCATGGGACACTGTAATTTACAGTCTCAAGCAAGGAAATTTGAAGGTGGTATCACATATCAGAAAGCATGCACCTCCATTTGTCCATAAGATCTTCTGAATACCTCATTCAATAATTTTTAAGAAGTTATCATCAGGAACTTCCTAAATCATGCAGACTTCTTAGGGCAATACAGATATTTGACTCTGAAGAGGACACAGGCTGATTGCAAATTCTTTTACACCAGACTTTGCCACAGGTCTTGTGGCTGCCTTTACATTCTGCATTTTCCTTCTTTCCTTCTTCCCATCCTCACCCCTTCCTCTAGTTCCAGCATCTCGGACATCAGAGTGGAGATGGCTAATACTCACTCTCCTCTTTTTACTTCAGGAGGCCTCTCAAGTTTTTGCTGAGGATATAACTGCTCAGCTAAAAACTATGTTTCCCAGCTTCCTTTTGCAGTCAGTGTGGCACATGATTTTTTCCTTGCCAACAGTATGTGAGTGAAAGTGATGTGGGCAACTTCTGGGAATGTGATAAGAAAAGAAGCATGAAACATCTTTCCTCCACTTCCCTCTTCTTCTTTTCTATGGAATATGGAAATGATGGCAAGAGTTGGAGAAGCCACTCTGGGCTGAGACGGAAGCCTTATGCTGAACTATGTTTTGAGCAGATGAACAAAGTAGAAAGAACCTGGATCTCTGAGATTACTGAGCTGCCATAAAGACTTAGACTCTCTACCTGAACTTGAAGAGAAAAACAAATCTCAATTTTAATTTGCTATATTGGGAGGGGAGTCCTCTTTATTATAAAGCCTAAAATTTTTCCTAACTTGTTGTGAAAGATAAAGCTAGTTGTAGGCAATACTCAGGATGGAGAATTAATGAACAACAGACTGGAGATCAACAAAGAAATTCACACATTATTGACATTTTCTGGTCAAGAATCTTTAGGAGCTGAAAAATCAGAAAAGAACATGTCTTATTGGTAGCATTTGTTAGCCAAAAGAAATGTGGCATGGACAGGTTTTCACAGAATGGAAGGAGCTGGAGGAAAGAAAGACCTGACTCTGCTTTTTTAGCTCTGTGTGTACTCAGTTGCTCAGTCCTGTTTGAGTCTTTGTGACCCCATGGATTGTAGCCCACCAGGCTCCTCTGCCCATGGAATTTTCCAGGCAAGAATACTGGATTGGGTTGCCCACTGCAGGAGATCTTCTTGACCTAGGGATCAAACCCGTATCTCCTGGGTCTCCTGCATTGGCAGGCAGATTCTTAACCACTGAGCCACCTGGGAAGCTCTTAGCTCTGTGGCCTTGGATAATTCTTAACTCTTTTATCAATATCCTTCTTGATTAAATAAGTATGATAAAGCTTGTCTGGCTATTTTGAGAAACAAATAAACCATATGTTTAAAGAGAAGCATAGGATGAATGAAAGAGTCAGAAGGTCCAGATGAATCCCATCTGCCATTAACTTGCTGGGTAGCCTTGGGCAAGTCACTGCCCTTCCCTGGGCCTGTTGCATCATCTATAAAATGTGGAAGTCTAGACTAGATGATCTATGAGGTCTTTCCCTGCTCAGTCTGTTTTTTTTTTTGTTTTTTTTTTTTTAAATCAGGCTACCATGCCATGAAGAGAGAGCCTACACTTTGCCAGAGTCGACTTGGCTATGCCAGTTCCTGAGAGCTGACTGTTGTGTGGCACTTCTCAGCCCCGTGGTCAGTGAGGTCTTTGTGGCAGCGTGGACTAGGCCACAGCAAGAGTATTTACACCACAGAACTTGGCAAAGGCTGTAAAATAGGGATCCTCCACCCTCTGCAGACTGTTGGTTGTGAAACATTTCCTAGCACACTACTTAATACGAGGAAAGAAAAATGAAGACATGGTCTTATGCTCAAAGTAGCAAATATGACTAGTAAAGCTTAAGACGAGAATGTACAAGTCTGTGTTTCTAATGTACAGAGGATGCGGGGAGAAGAATTTTAGAAGCTACTTGATTCCTGGCTTCCAGGTGCCCTGGTCCAATTCCAGGTTGCAGTAAATGGGCCCCTTGTGATATGAAGGAGTTAATACCTTTCCCTCAGTGACCAACTTACCTGGCCTTGTTGTGCTGTTGTTAGATAATGGGCTGGTGGTACCTGTAGCCCCACCCTGGGTGAAAGTTGAACCCCTGGGATCAAGAATAAAGGGTTTCCAAGACACGGAGTGATCAGGAGCAGTCGTTAAATTATTCTAGTTAATCCAAGTGGAGCAGTAACCTGAGGTCCTGACTCATCTAGCCAAGTGGGACCTGTGGCCTGGAAAATGTTTGCAGATTCTGAAACAATGGACACACTTGCTTATTCTCACCATTTAGAGTGTCATCTCAAAAGTGTTCTGAAGAAAGCAGTTCCTTGGTATGCTGATAGTACCCTCTTCCATACCCCAAAAGGAGTTCATTGTCAAATGTGTTTGAGAAATATTGGCTATAACAAAATAAACAGGCTCCTTATGGCAGCACTTCTTAGAGATTTTAATAGGCTAAAGTAATGCTTCTCAAATTTGTCTGTGGTGATGCATCTGATATAAAAATTTCCATTCAATACATGGTACAATTGTCCCCATGTGCAATTTACCACACAAGTTTGCCAATACCAACCTGAAGGACCCCTGTCCAGTGACATGTGTTCATGGATCATGTATATTCTCCATTTTACATGGATGAGTTCATGGTCATGTAATGTCCCACAGTTGTAAAATTCTTTTATTGCTCACCCCTGGTTTTTGTACTTATCACATCGTGGTCCAGTAACACTCTGGCACAGTGCATGGGCCTTGCTTGGAGCAGCACTGTGTGGAGGACACAGCTCACGGGCCCCACTTGGAGCAACACTGTAAAGAGGACCCACCTGTCTTCCTCTGAACACTCCCTCTCTAGGATTCCCAGGTTTGAACTGGCCATCGAGGGGTATACCCAGCCGTCTGAGAAGGTGCAGCTCTGTTAAGAGTGGGACCTCTGTCCCCATTCCAGTGGGGCATTCCCTGACCTGCTCCAGCACAGCAAGAGTTGACTTTCCAGAGTCACAACGGAACTTTGAAGTAAAAAGCCAAGTTTTCTGGGGAATTGCACCATTTCTGAAGAGGGTCACGTGAACATCAGACAAACCCCCAGCACAGGACAACCAAGTGCACTTGGGCCTTCCTTTCAGTCCTCCACAGGCTCCTAAAAACAGAAAAGGCACAACAACCTTCACGCTGGGCTTCCATGAAGGGCAGGAAGTCCTTCCAAGGCAGGCAAGGCTGTTCCATTGTCTCTGAGGAGCAACAGGTCCACTCCCTCACAAGGCCACTGACCCACGGACGAAGGGTCACAAGTGTCAGTTAGAAGCGGATAGGCTCCGCCCCAGACAGAGGCAGCAGCACCCAAATCCATCTCCGGATTCTGGCAGTTTTTCTCCACAGCTTGACAGGTGGGCACCAGCACGAGGCAACTGCCCCTTCCCGGCCCTTCCTGCGCCTTCTTTCCCCTGTGCGGATGCCCGTCATGCGTCCACATTGGAAGTCAAGTGTAAATAGAAGGCTCCGACTACAGGTCAGGCTGCCGTCAAGGTTCCCCCACGCCTGAAATGTTCACCGTCCCTGCCAGCTCTCTATTGTGTGCCTGTCAGAGCTGGCTGCCTCCGGTCTCCTGTGGACAGATTCCCTCCTCAGTGAACACTATCAGTGACCCGAGAAATCCCGGGAATCTGCCTGTCTCTTTCCAAGAAGAGACAGTTTCAGCTGAGAGTTTTACCTCAGCCTTTCACCAGTCTGTTTTGTAGCATGAGGGACTACTTACTCACGTGGTGGGCCCCCGGGCCAGATAGGCGGAAGGATGCTGTCAGGTGATTGAAGACAGGATCACCCCAGGGGCACATCTATTGGAACATTCCTGCCTGGCCTCAAGACTGGTCCCGAGTGAAGGAGCCCCCCGGAAGGCTGAGTTTTAGGTAGAACTGGGTTTGGGGGTCTCCTTCACGGCAAGTGGAGGTGTCCAGCCAGCAGGTGAGGAGGAGAGAGGCAGGTCGTCGGGGTAGAAATGACTGTGGATGCCGTGGGAATAGGAGTAGAGGCCTCTGAGGCAGGCTGTGTGGAGACAAGCAGAGAGCCTGGGGGGACCTCATAGTTATCTAGAGCAGGGTAGCAAGAGGGAGGCTGGGAAGGATAAGGAGTATTAGGAAGGACACTTGGAGGAGACAGTGCCTCAACAAGCCAGGGAAGAATCGAAGGTGTTGTGTTCCTAAGAGATGGAGGAGGTGGTAGACTGCAAAAGGAGATGGTTGGTGATTAAAGTGACTTCCAAGCACAGCGGCTACGTATGGCCAGTGTGGGCTGCACCCCCAGGGGGAGCCACCCTCGCCCCCCTCTGTGGGGATGGTGGCCCTGGAGTTGCATCACGCACCACCTGTGTGACTACTGGGAACAGGAGCCCCGTCCAGGAGAATCTTGTCAGCCGAGGGGTGAAGGCTGGTGCCCCTCCGAAACTGCTGAGGAGGGAGGGTGGGGGCTGGAGCTGATGATGGTGGCCCCTGAAAGCACCCCTGAAACGGACATGAGAGAAAGAAACAGGAATGACAGCTTGGGGTGGGGGTGCAGAATTTCTCTGGTGGTCCAGTGGTGATGATGTCACCTTCCAAAGCAGGGGTGCAGGTTCCATCCCTGGTCAGAGAGCTAAGATCCCACATGCCTCCTGGCCAGAAAAACGAAACGTAAAGCAGAAGCAATGTTCTAACAAATTCAATAAAGACTTTAAAAATGTTCCATAAAATAAAAAAAAATTTTAAAAAAAAAAATGACAACTGGAAAGCATGTCAGCTTGAGGGCAATCAACATATTTTCCACTTGAATTATCTGGGGCTTGGAAATTTGAGCATATTTTAGGCAAAGGAAAAAAGCCACTAAAGTGCGAGAGAAAACAAATGAGAGCACATGGAGAGAGGGAGAGGACAGATCTATTGGGAAACAAATGCTAATTGCCAGCCTTCTGAGCGGCTTTTCACTGTTTACTGAGATGTAGCTGTTTTCCCAGGTCCTCTCAAGGAGCTAACACACTTGGCATCAGTGATTCAACAGAGGGCCCTGGATGGGTGATGGGAGGGGTGCAGTTAGGTTTGGGGTCAGATAGGCTTCTCTGAGCTGAGCCCGGAATGATGAGAAGAAGTCCATCCAGTGATGACTAGGGAGATGAGTGTATCTGGTGGAGAGAACCACCAGAACAGAGGTTCCCAAAGGGCAATGAGCTTAAGATGTTTGGGAGGTGGGGGAGGCCAGCATGTCTGGGCACAGAGATGGGAAGGGATGAGGGGTGAAGCTGGAGTTACAGGTGGGGCAGGTCACAGAGGGCATCTGGGGCTCTGGGAAGAAGTTTCCATGAGAAAGTATGAGTGACATGTGGGTATCATTCACCTCTGCTCCAGCCCGAGATATTATTGGGAGTCTTATTGTTCTCTTTAGCACTGGAGAAGGAAATGGCAACCCACTCCAGTGTTCTTGCCTGGAGAATCCCAGGGACGGGGAAGCCTGGTGGGCTGCCGTCTATGGGGTCACACAGAGTCGGGCACGACTGAAGCGACTTAGCAGCAGCAGAGTTAAAAAACAACAACAACTGGGGCTTGAATGAAAATCTCCTTCAAGCTTAGCCACCAGAAACATGTCTTACCTGAGTCAAGAAGAGTTTAAATTCATGGCTTCTTAGGAAAGTCTCTGAGTCAGGTGCAAGTGCTAGGCATGCCTCAGGCTTTTACAAATACTGTTTTGGGGGACATTAAGCCATTCAGTACTCCTGAGTCACCTCATCTACAGACATCTGCTGCAAAAAGACTTTCTACATAGATGTAGTTCGTTTTGATGCTCTCCTGCTGTTCTCTCTGGATCCTTGCATTTCCTTATCATGTTCTTTTCTCTCCCCACTGCTGTTGTGTAACATCTTGCTACTCAAGCTTCTTCCTGGGTCATCTCAAAAATTAAACCCTTTATTTTCCAGTCTTTCCTTCATCTCTACAAAATTACCTAATTTGTTTCATGCAGATATTAGCAAGGAGGCAATTTGATTGAAAAAAAAAATCATACTTAGGTGTTAGTGACTGATATTATACTCATGGGAGTATTTGATTTTGTTTAAAAGAAGGATATGCACCTAAATAAGAGCATGTGCTAAAGAGCATTCAGGATGTGTGGTTGCCAAGGGCTGAATTTTAGAAAGATAAGAGGAGGACTGAGGAATGGGGAGCTTTCTGGATCCCCTAGCACCTGTTATGTGGATACCTGCTAATGCCAAAATCTGGCTTGGTTTCTAGATCTAAAGGGACAGGAAAGACAATTCCCGACTCTAACAAGGAAAGATGAAAGTAGCTTTGTGTTCTGAGGATATGGAGCCCAGTTTGATTCTCTTGGTCCTGGAGTGCTTACCATTATGTCAGCCCTCTTCCAAAACTGGCTTCTCTAATGGGAGTACACATGACAAGGATAAACAGATGTGGACACCTTCTATGGGTATGTTTTCTCATTTACTCTTCACCACAACCCCATCAAGTAAACGCTATTATTGCCACCACCCCCCACCCCGCCATTTTCCGGGTAAAACTGAGAGTCAGCATGTTTAATGACTTTCCCAGGGTCACAGAGATAGAACCTTAAAGAGCTGGGATTGAAACCCAGGTATATCTGAATCTGAAGCTCAAATTCCCCTACTATGCCTCGGGGTTAAAAGTTAATCCTATGGCAGGAGAAATGGTCCTTACTGGAGCATTCTGAAAACTAAACGCAGCTTCTCCACTTAGAGGGTCTGTGGTTTGTTTCCTCTTTCTGGGTCTCAGTTTCCTCATCTTGAAAACAGAGAGACTCAGTTATTTGACAGCCTCTCCTTGCTCTGAGCGATACTTTTTAAGTTGACCTGTCTTTGTACTTAGAAATGTCTCT